GCCTACGTGATGACAAAAAATTGGATCGTTTCAAATATTTTTGGTTTAGCATTTGCATTCAATGCAATCCAAATGCTTTCGTTGGATTCGTTTAAAACTGGAATGATCTTGTTGAGTGGATTGTTTTTCTATGATATATTTTGGGTATTCGGTACTGAGGTGATGATTACTGTAGCTAAAAGTTTTGATGCGCCAATTAAAGTAGTTTGGCCCAAACAATTGCTTGGATTACAACCAAATGAAGCTTTACAATTTACCATGTTAGGGTTAGGAGATATTGTCATTCCTGGTAATTTATCAAAAAAAAAATAATTTTGTTTATTTAATTTATTTATTTTATAATGATTTATTTGTTAATTTACATCATTGATTTTAATTTTTTTTTTTAATAAAGGAATTTATGTTGCACTTTGTCTTCGATTTGATCACAATCTACATTTAAAACGTAACCCCACAGCTAAAAAATATTCCAAATTTTCAACACCGTATTTCAACAGTTGTTTTACTTCTTATATCTTGGGCCTTATAACCACCATTGTAGTTATGCATACTTTCAAAGCAGCACAACCTGCTTTGCTTTACCTTTCACCAGCTTGTATAATTTCGGTGCTTGTAACAGGATTATTTAAAAGTCAAATACGCGAGATTTTTACCTATTCAACTGACGATCCTGAAAAGAAAGACAAAAAAAGGATGACGATGTAGATGCTGATGGTGATAAGAAAGAACAAGTATATAGCGAAGATGATGATGGTGATAATGAGGCGGTGAAGAATGAACAACAACAAACAGTCAGAAAACGCACTAGTGATAAAAAAATTTTTATACAACAAATTATCTTATTTAAATTTCAAAATCTTACATATAATTTTTTTATTAAAATATAAATAAAAAATAACGCTAGATGGAAAGCAATTTATTGATTGCATATGCTGCCTTAGGCACCATGGCAGTTGTGCCGATTTACTATGGATCATTTGCTTCAGTAAAATGGCCTAAAAAGGTTGAAATGATAAAAGTGATTTTTCCGTGAATTTTTAGCTTTGTCTTGATTTACTTTACTTACTGGTTATTATAAATATTTACATAAATATAGAAAAAAACTGAATGTGCCAAGTTTGATCATGAGGCAGAATCTTCTGATGAAGAGGATTCTTCAACCGAATCTTTATCAACGGAAGATGCTTATCTTTTTCCAATAATTGGATCCGTGGTGCTCTTTTCATTATACCTAGTTTTTAAATTATTGAACAAGGATTATGTGAATTATCTTGTTACCGGATACTTTGCCTTTTTAGGCGTTATCGCTGTAACAAATGTTGGCGTGTATATTGTTAAGAACGTAATTGGACTTAAAGTTGACTCTTATAAAATTAGATTAACCAAAAAAGCTGAAGGTATATATTTATATATATATATAATTTAATATTTTATTTGATCTAAATGAATCCCACACATTAAGCCACAAATTTATAAAAGTTGGGTACACTAAAATTATACTGTGTGCAAATAAATTATTAAGTTCGGAGCGAGCGTTCCGCACATATATTTTAGACACTGATCAGATATATATAACAATAGTAATATTTAATATATACATTTATTATTGTTGTGCGTGAAAATGAAATCTATGTGAATTTGTAATTCACGTATGTGAAATTCAAATTAGCCAATCAGAATTTCATATCCAAACACCCTACCCCAAAATTTTAATTATTTCACATACAACATTACCAAACCAATCGAGATAAATATATTATCAATATTACTACACTGCTGAACTGATTTGGTGATGATACAGCTTGCTCAATTGATCCATTTAGTGCAGTGTTGTCAGTCAATTGTCCTGGGCTAATTGGCCTTTTGGACACGAGCTAATTGACCATAAGACTAATTGGACATTATAACTCCAATTAGCCCATAATGTCATAACATTAAAATTAATTTATAATGAATTTTATCAAATAACTAAAACAAAATA